GACACACATGCATGCATATATACACATATATATATATATATATATATATATATATATATATATATATATATATATATATATATATAATAGAAAGAAAGAACGTTGATATATGATCCGGTGTTCTTATTGATATTTTTATTTTTACAAAACAGTGCTAAGTGTAAAGTTACAGAGCATAAATATTATAAATTAACTGATTTAAAATATGATCTCTCCGCTACACAAGAATTATCATGTTTCAAAACTGAAGCTAAAATCTTCAAATTTAATTATATAATTAAATTAAAACCATTATCTCTGTTTGATCTTCAAGCGAGTTTTGGAATTTAATTTAATTATATAATTAAATTTGAATTTTTTCGCTTCGGTTTTTGATACATGGTAATTCCTAATGTAGCGAATAAACCATATTTTTAATCGGTTAATTTATATATATATATATATATATATATATATATATATATAGAGAGAGAGAGAGAGAGATAGATAGATAGATAGATAGATAGATAGATAGATAGATAGATAGATAGATAGATAGATTATGCTGTTCTCTATTCCTTAGCTGCTAAATAACTGAGGACACGTGCCCTGTTTCAAATATATTTGTTAGATATTTTATTAGGCTTTCATATTGAATTCTTGCAATGGACATATTCAAAAGAACCTCAAATTTAAACTTTCGGAACGTCCATGATCATAGCTCTCCACAACTTCCCATCTCTAGTTTTTAATAATATCAGTCGTTTCACTATCCCTCCTATCACATCTTCTGACATCCTGTTTTACAATCTCGTTAGTAAAATTACTTGGTTGTCCGAGCACAATATTTCGGAAAACAAAAACAAGAACTTGGAAGAATTATTTACTAACTTTTAGCATAGGCAATGGAATCGATTATATACACCCGTATAATGAGTTTCGTTATAGAATTATATAGTCATCTGAAGAAGACCGGAAGTTATATGTTTCGAAGCGTTATGATTATAAAAACTAAGCTGAATAGAGAAGCTAAAGGAAAATTAAAGGAAATATTGTTTTGGAATTGGGTAAACTAGCGAAAATGAAGCAAAATAAGATTAAATATTAAGACAAGAAAAACCTCAGCCATATCAGATCTGGCAGAGCCCTGCTCAAATGTGGCAAATCAAATCAAGTTTAATAAAAAATATTCTGATTGAAATATTGGATGCAAAAAGAAACTCAAATTTTAGAAGCGTCTTAGAAATTACTTTTTCATCTAAGGTTAATTAAGCTTCGATTTTTTGCTCATTTATCATTTCTGACAGCTTAAACCCAATGCGTTCTAAAAGTAGCCAACTGAAATCTTCCAATGCAGTTCAAATCATTAAAACTTAGAAATTCCTATTATTGCCTTGGAGGTCTTCCGATGGGAATCCAGTTCAATTTTGTTTCTTCGCAAGAATCTCACTTGAAGTGAAATAAAGAAAATCTGCAGATGTTGACGTTTGCTGATATCAGCCCATGAGCTTATGAAGAAATGGAATCACTTTCATTCATGTTATTCGTCACTAACAGATGGGAAATAGATTTAAATGTTGGTCATATTGTCATAAATATCATTAAATAATCACCTTTTCCATTGTATTAGTTTTTATATCTAGAAATTTATTAGCCATGTAAAGTTTCTATATTATATTTCCATATTCCCTTTGCTGATTTAATCGAACATTATTTATTTGTTGAATCTGAGGGGAAATGTATTCATTAACACAATAATTATTCTGACTATTATCTTCATCTTTATCTGTATATCAAATCCCTTCGCTAGAACAGTTCGGTTAGTTTAGTATTGTAAGTGATAGAGAGATTATATTTTTATTTTGTCCATCAATTACTGAGATTATTAATTTCATACGTTTTTCTTTAAATGGCTTTAGTTTGATCGTGATATTCTCCAATCATCTTTAAGTATATATTCGATACTTCCAGTCTTTAAGCGGAAAAAAATTCATTTTTTTGTTATTTTCAATTTTATTTTAAATCTCTATAATCCTTTAATTGTGGATTAAGTAAAATCAACTTCACGATTTAAAAGAATTTTTAAACATAATCCGCAAATATTCATGGAACACACTTTTTATCATATTTATTTATATTTGTGCACGGATAGAGGGTGATAATCTCTGAGGTTCAAATTGTTTAGCAAGAAATAATCTAAAGTAGATAATGCATTCTGGGTTAAAAAAAAATGACAAAGGCATAGTGCTCAAAACAATTCACATAAATGCCGTAGATGAAATGATTTCTTTTGAGTATCTTTTGATTTGCAGCTGATTTTAAGATGATCATTTCATCACAGATTTCAACTGACTGACAGCCAATTAAATTCTTCAAATCTTACATATTTATAACTTTACCATTTGTTTTTGCTTTGAACACTGCTGCCACATCTGGTCTGGTGCTCCTGCTATATATTTAGATATTCATGGTAGAATCCAAAGAAGAATCTGCAATGTTATTAGTCCTGACCAGGCATCTCGCCTTCTATCATTTCCCCAACGCCCTAATATAGCTTTCCTGTGTCTTTTCCATAAATACTGTCATGTTAATTGTTTTGATGACATTTCCTCTAAGCGACATAAACTTTATGAATTTCAGCGCAGGACTACATCGGTGACAAGGTATCATCAGTTTGCAATTGAAATGGCAAAAGATGTAACCGTAAGTTCTTTGCTAAAAGTTTCTTCTATTACACTTCACACTTGTGGAATTCTCTTTCGTCTTATTGTTTCCCAGTCAACTTTGATCTTCAAAAATTTATATGGAATGTCAATTGTAATCTACCATCTTAAATTATGTTCTTTTATTTTCTCATTTTCTCCTAAACTCAGTAACCCATTGCATTTTAGTGGCTTTATTAGTATGCATGGAGTGAAATGATTTTTAAAAAAAACCTATGATAATAGTAAGATTAACCGTTTCCATAGAGGAAACATTTGGCATTCACTGACCGGACGTTTCTGTCGGCTGAAATCTTTCTCTTAGTAGTTTTTGTCAGGAAAATAGTCTGATAAAATCCACTAACCGTTATCGTTTTTTTTTCTTCCAAATACTGACGGGAGTTTCCTTCTTAATCTTTTCATTGAAGTAGCTTGGAAATTTAAATTCTTGGTTATATCATCATTTCTCATTCTATTTATATGTGCTATCCATTTTAGTTGTTGCTGCTGCTGGAAGCGTTCAAGTGACGTTTTTCTTATTTACTAACTTTCTTTGTGATTATATAGCGCCGATCTGGGGACCTCAAGGCGATATAATGCTTAACAAGTAGTAAGTTCGATCCTTACTGGGTGCCCCATACGTCCGGCCTTGTGCCACATCTAAGCTACGCTTGGAAAATCTTGGAAAAATATAAATACAGACATCATTATCGGTATAGTGTTCTTTGGAGGTAAAAGAAAGGATTAAAAAGATTGGGATTCCCATTTCATCTTTGTTGTACTCCTGACACCATATTGAAATGTTTTGGTCTTCTCGAAATATATAATATTTTGCAATCCTATACTTTTGTGATATGAAAATCGCTGGTATGCGACATTCTATTCGGTATGTTATTTCAGGAAGTTGTCAGATGACAGATATTCCATCTTTACGTAAATATTAAATAAATAACACGTAGTAAAGAAAGTTGTTGATAATTTGTGAAATCAGCAAAACAGCTTATGAATATGTTTTGAAATATTTTTTTTTAAAAAAATGACGAATCAATACTTCTAGGAGAAAAACTTTTCAGTGATCTGGTTTTCTCATCCAAATTTTTGTTCTCTTTCAAATAATGTTTATTTTTTATTTTATTCTTTTCTATTTCATTTCGTTGGTCGTTTTTTTTTGTAACATTTGAATGATTCGATTGGTACATCCACTAGCCTTTTTTCACTGTTATGTGGCATACAGTCTAAAGCTTTAAATAGGCTTTTATTGTTGTAAATGTAATGATGTTGTTAAGCAACGAATTTATTCTTTTCCCAATAAGATTAGAACGCGAAGAGAAGACAAGATTTCAATTTCAGTTCGCCATTTCTATTTCTAGTAACGGTAAGCGCTTCGGCAATCATGTCACCTCAGAGAACGGAGAACAATAATGAAGTTTTAGAAAAATGCCAAAATATGAACGCACGCGACTATTGCAATAAATTCTCCTCCCTTTGACTTATGTTCCTCTCTATTCACCCACATTCCTGAACTAATTCGATATTCTTTCTCTTTTTACTATTCTTCCTTAACCAATTCTATGTTCGTCTTTCTTTTTTCTCTTTTTCTCCTTAACTAAATCTATATCTGTATCAATTTTTCTCTGATTCTTGGAATTCAAGCAAAGTCGCCTGGTCAGTAATTAGATGGGTGACAACATGAGAATACCAAGTGCCGTAGACTTGGATATGCAGGAAGTATAATGGATAATGACTCGGAATTGTTAATCGGAGAGCCGATTTCCAATTCCATTTGGGTTCGTTATATTCACTTACATACATATACCCTTGGAAAGGTATGAATCCAGACCTTCTCCCCACCCGCTATGGGTTAATCCTTATCACGAATCCTTATTATCTCCCCCACCTCAAATATTCTTACAATCTAAAAAAATATTTTCTGACTTTGAAAAACTTGCAGTGTTGATAAGTCGTACAAAATCAATCAGTCTTCAGTAATTCTATGTCCAGATCTATTTTCCCAAATTCCTGAACTAATTCGATATTCTTTATTTACTTTTCTTCCTTGACACATTATGTTTGCCTCTCCTTTTCTCTTTTTTCCACTAATTAATTCCCTCTCTCACTCTCATTAATTGCTTTCTCTTCTCCTAATGCTAATGTATTTTTCTTCATCGTCATTTTCATCATTTTTCTTTCTTTCTTTCCTTCCTTCTTTCTTTCTTTCTTTCTTTCTTTCTATACATGTTTAAATATACTTTTCGTCTTTCTTTCTTTCTTTCTTTCCTTCTTTCTTTCTTTCTTTCCTTTCTTTCTATACATGTATAAATGTACTTTTCGTATTTCTTTCTTTTCTGCTTTCTTTCCTTCCTTCTTTCTTTCCCTCTTTCATTCTTTCCTTTCTTCTTTCTTTCTTTCTTTCTTTCTTTCTATACATGTATAAATGTACTTTTCGTGTTTCTTTCTCAAGCTATTGCGAGTAATTTTGATTGTCTTGTGCCGGACTCTGCTAGATGTTGTTATTATTATTATCTAGATACTGTTATTTTAAACACTGTTTAACTTCCCATTGTTGCATTCATCGTATTAATATTTGCCTTGCGAAATTGCACCTCTACTCAGGAGCCGACTGCAAGCACCTGTTTATTTGCATTGATCACTGATGCAAATAAATGTTTATACTACCTACCTATCTCTGATCTTATAGCCAGAGGGTCCGTCGTCATCACCTGTGGATTCATTATTCCTTAAGTAACAATATTTTATGAGAATTCTCAATAAGGACAGAAATCATTAATAATGGCTTGCAAAACTCTGGCATGTTTAAATCTTAAATATTGCTACTGCGCGACAAAATGCAATGAATGACAATGTATAGAAACTGAGAAAATAGAGAGGGAATTAAGAAAAGAAGAAGAAGAATGATTTATGCATGAAAGAAATAGAAAGGGGGAGTTGCATGTAAACGGTCAGGCACTTTATTGTTTCATTACAGAGAAATTTTCCATTTATCATTTCGCGAGGCTTCGTCACTTGAATTTCCTTCTCGGCGAAATTCTGCCATCCTTATTGTATAAGAAATAAAAAATGCAGTCGTACAGTTTAGCTTTGAGCATTATTAAAAATATTGCTTTATAAAAATCTGACTATTGATGATGCCAAAGTTAAATTCTCTCATCATTATTATTATTTTTTTAAATATTTTATTTGACTTTGTCTCATGATCACATGCCGGATCATAGCCAACGATCTCAGATGAACAAGGGATTTCTTTGTTGTTTATACTTACTTAAAAAAAAGACAGATATTAACAAAAAAACTTTTCTCGGATAAGGTATGTGCTTGTTAGAACCATTTCCCAACTTAGAGAGATGCTACAACAAGGGGTCTAGTCAAAAGTACATGCATCGCTGAAATGTTTCAATCTTTAACAGCACTTACAATTCATCATTTCCTGAATATAATTTCAATTCATAAAACAGATAATTTATCCTTTCATCATTGATTTTATACGCATATCCTGTATTGTTTGTATTGAAGAGGAGATAAATTGTCTCCTTGAAAAATTCCACGTCTTAAATTTCAAGTATTAAGAGCACGCCATTACAATACTGGAGTAACAGATCTGTCTTCCGGAATGCAAATTATGTTGTGTGAAAGGTAGGAATTGAGGATCCATGAGTGTGATATGTTGTCAATGGCTTTCTTGTGTTTTTTGTTTTTTTTGTTGTTTTTTTCAAGAATCATCATATTTATCAGTACATGTTTTAAGCTCTCATAAGAATCCCTCCGACAACCATTTTGTACAATGACATATATCGTGCTCTTCCAGACGGCTGTAGAGACTTTCGGTTAATATGACTATTAACAACTTGTAAGATGTTGGCAAATAAAGTCGATAGATTTTAATGCTTTCTGTGTCATTATCTTTTAGTTGCTGTTATGTGACACCTTGGCAGAAGGTGTCATAATTCCTATGTTTTTGTGAACTGCCACAGCCTTTCATTAAATAGTGTTTCTATAATGATATGGTAAGCAGAGAATATTTGATGATTTCCAATATATGTGCTTAATACGTCCTTTATTTCTTTCACTGTAACATATTATTTCTGTTCTTGAATGTTTGCCATATTTTTCTTCAGCTGTTTTAACCATATAGCATCCTCATTGGTCATCTCCCCATATTTTATTCTAGAATATGCTTATGTCTCTTTTCAGTATTTCTTTTTTCTCTATTGCAACTGTTTAGCTTCATATTTATCTCTTCAATTTCTTTGCGTCTGTTTAAAGTTTATTGTTTTATCTCTAGAAGTTTTCGCCTTTCTCGAGCCAGCTGAGACGTTGTGCTTTAGTTTAGCTCGCCATTTTTGTTTTTGTCTTTCAATTTTTCTAATTGTTCTTTCCACTCTAATTGATATTTTGTCTTAACTTTATGTAATTTACAATGTCTTAGTTCATTATTCTTATTAAGTTACATCAAAATAGATATTTCTGCTCTCATTAAGTTTTAGTTTTCTCAATGTTTTAATATTCATCTTGGTGTATTATTTGGTGACCTGTGTTTTTTTTTCTCTTTCTCAGGTGCATTTCACAATTTAGCTGAAGACATTTTGCAGCTGCATATATCAATTCGTTTAGGTCAATCAAATTAGGTTTTATCACATTTCATACTCCTCTTAAAACAAAATTCCCAACATAAATTCTATGTTTAAATCGTCTAATTTTCAAAAGTGGATCTCTTGCAGGAATGACAATGAGGATTACTTTCAATAGCTCTTCAATGATTTCTCCTTTCAGAGTTCGACTAGCCTCTGCCTATTCCTCCACAAATTCGGTTGTTCCGGGTTTCCTTTCAGTTATATTTTCATCTTCCTCATTCACAAAAATTGATGTTCTCATCTTGATTTTCAATTTCCATCTGTTCTTCATCTGTTTTCTGAACATTACGTTGTTCCCAGTTTTATTTGATTTTAGACGCAATTCTTGATTTAATTTGTGTTAATTTAGTATTCGTGAGGCAACGTTGTTTTTATTATTATTATTATTATTATTATTATGATTATTATTATTATTATTATTATTATTATTATCAGTAGTATTTCTTTGGGTTTCCGTTGTATACATATTTCCTCCAGGGTCCCAAACACAGACATAAGGTTGAGCAATGTCGTAAGGACATCTTTCACTGATCATTAAAAAAAAAAAAAAAAATTAAATATCTTCGTAATGTGTTAGCTGTACTTGTGACTACAATTTTCTGTATATGAATATATATATATAATATATATATATATATATATATATATATATATATATATATATATATATATATATATATATATATATATATATATGATAGGAGGATACTTTCATATTTAACAGTGAATTTTATCATTTTATTTAAACTATTAACACGTTTCGGAAGTGTATTCAGTATATTGAAAATCAAGAAGTAATAAGCCTGGTTCCTTAACAGGAATTAATGAAAGCGTAATTTAATGAAATGAACTAAGATTTCTGAAATATAAAACATCGATTTCAAAATAGGAAAATATCAAAATCGAAATTTTAATTTGAAAACTCCAATAATTCTAGTTCTGCTTATATACTTAAAATATTACAAAACCGATTCGTAACCTTTGAAGACTTTCATTTCACGAATTGACATGTATCACAAACGATCGACTAATACACAGGACAATTAGACATCCATTTCATGAAGCAACAAATACAAGCTGTTCATAAAAATCAATCCAATCTTTGCAGTTGGTATTAACGAAGTACCTCACCAACGAAACAATGTGTCATTTGATTCGAATGAATGGAAATAAAAATCTGTTTGTCTGTCGGTTTCAATCAATTAACAGATTATACAAAATGTCATCGATGTGTGAATACCACGCTTGCGAGGAGGTCAGTTGCTTGATGAGTTGTTTCCGAATGAATATTTTGATTGACACAGGAAATTACAATTAAAAACGAGATTTTTTCTTTCTTTTTAATTTAATTTCAAATATTTTTTTTATTGTTTTCATCTTTCATTTTTCATCTTTTTTTTTTACTTTAGGAGTAAATTTTTTATTCTTTTTATTTCCTTTTTTTTTGCTTTTGATTTCTTTTAATTTTGTTTATTCTTGACATTTTTATTCTTTTGCTTTATTTGTTTTTTCAAGACTTCTTTACTTTCTTCTTTCTTTCTATCTTTTTACTGTCATCTCCTTTCTTTCTTACTTTCTTTCTTTTTTTTTTTCTTTTCTTTCTTTCTTTCTTTCTTTCGTAATTTTCCTCCTATTTCCTTCGTTTTTTCGCATTGCCTTGGGAATTTTTTTTATAATTTTCATCTTTTATATTCGTCTTTCTTTTTCTTTCTCTTTCTCTTTTCTTTATAGATTTCCTTCCTTCGAATTATGTGATTTGCTTCCTTCGTTTTCTTTTATTTTATAATTCATTTATCATTCATTCTTCTTTGTTTGTTTTGTTTCTTTCTTTTCTTTGATTCGGTTTTTCTGCAGTGATTAATGTATCCTGTTCTTTTTCAGTTAATCATTCTAATTTTCTTTCATTTCCCACTTCTTTCTCTCTCTCTCTCTCTCTCTCTCTCTCTCTCTCTCTCTCTCTCTCTCTGTGTGTGTGTGTGTACGCGATTTCAACATCGATTTTCCTTTTCTTTCTTTCTCTCCTTCATTTTCTATTTCATTTATTCTTCAGTAGATTCTTCTTTCTTTCTATATTTAGTTTTTTTCACTTTCTTTTTCCTTCTCTACTCACTTTCTGTCTGTATTTTGTTCTAAAATACAAATTAATTCAGCAATTTATTCTCTTCAGTAAAACTTATTTTTTACATCAAAACCTTTTCTAAATTTGTTTTATTTTTTAACTTTTTTCATTGATTCCTTTCTTGTTTTTCTTATCGCCCTATTTTCATTCTCTCTATTTTTCCTTCTTTTATTCTAAATTTTAGGTTGCAAGGCACTAGCTTTAGTCTTATTGTTGGTTGCAGATTGCATGAGTCTTGTGTGGGTCGGAAGAATGGCAAAGGCGGACAAGTGTTTAGGAAGCTTTTAGAAAGCACGCTTGAAAATCTTTCAGTTGGACACAAGAAACCTGATCGTCGTCTATTTTGTATTTCTATAAGCATCAACACATTTGTCAGGTTCGGTAAACACCCGACACTGGATAGTGTGCCCCCCCGCCCCCAAAAAACACATATATTGCCTCTGCCAGCCTAGATGCTGGCAACTCACCCCAGTCTAATTTAATCTGTAGAGGTATACGACAAATATCTACTTATGAGGGTGTGCTAATATGTTCCCATTCGGACCATGGTCCCTTGCCAACAAATTTTGCCATTTGGTTATTGGGCCAGATTTTGTAAACTGGGTCAGGTCGATAACATCTCAACAATCAAAGAACTATACAGCACCACCCAGATAAATACCAACAATTCTATAATGCATTTATAATTTCGTCTCGCAGTCAATTCAGTGCTGTGATATGATCAAGCCTCACTGGGTGTCTTTTCCAGAATAACGTGCGATAGCTAGCAGAACTGTGTATTTCCCAAAAGTATCTATTGTTGTTGATTGATCGCAGTAAGAATCGTGAACATTTCCAAGTCAATTGCGATAAACACTTTTTACTCTTACAATATTAGCGCAAAAGCTTCGTTACTTTTCACATTCTAAAACGCCAACAATTTGAATCCATTGGAATCTACGTTGGAATTACATGTTTTAAATGATTTTAGTTTTCATTGGCGAACACAAATTTGAGAAGGCCTTGTACGTCAATTGAATGCCTCTTAAATGTATATCATAATTGAGTAAGGAGACAACACCAATAGAACGTAGGTTGCATCTATAAAAATTCTAAATGTTACAAGCTGTAAATTGTTAAAAAAAGTTTTTTTTTAAATTGCTGAACACTTTAGAAATATATATATATATATATATATATATATATATATATATATATATATATATATATATATATATAGTGTTTTTCTTTTCTTATAAAAATCCGAACCTTTCAGCTACGGTGGTTTCTCCTGCGGATCTTGAGGTAGTAAAATAGGCTGATTTCACTTCCCATGAAAGCTCAAGGGAAACTGTGGTGGGAAAAGTAGCGTCTATCGCCTGACAAATCTTCTGTGGATGAAACCACGGTAGCGAATGCGTAAGTGATTAATATTCCTGTTTTGTTTTTTTATTATTTAATATTTAAAAGCTCTGCACCTTCATTTTTTTTTTTTTTTTTGTGATTGTGTATAATATAACTATTCCCTGGTCGGAGTCAACTCTGACCAACAACATATATATGACAAAGTATAGTTTTAAGGTATAAGTGGCCAGTATCCGACATGAAGCGTATATAGATATAAGCATCCGAATAGTGACAATGTGTTTCCTGTTTAAATACAATATTCATAGTCTGAAAATTGCGTTGAAATATGAAATAGACACAGTCACTGCTCGGTGTTGAATTCTATGTACATACACACACTATATATATATATATATATATATATATATATATATATATATATATATATATATATATATATGAAGATTAAAGTTTCATGCTATTCGCAATCGTCAGGCCACGATTGCGTCTAGCACGAAACAGCCAGTCGCCTCTAAGTGATGACTTCAGTGTTCACTTTTATATTTACACAGACTTTATCTCTGATATTGAGCACTATATCCCATAAATATACCACACCTTAAGAGTCTATTTCTTTATACATATATATATATATATATATGATAAAAATATAGTTTTATGTTATGCTATATCTATTGTTAAAAGTACTGAATATCAGTATTATTTAAATATAAAGCGTGTTTCTATAAATATACAGAGTCATACACATACAAGTCTATTTCACAGCTCATCAGTTTGGCTAGACATCCGATTACTTCAAGCCGGGATCGAAACACGACCAATTTAACATCAGTCGGAGACTTTATCCCTAAGCTATCGGCGCACGGTCTAGAAAGGGTATCTTTTAACGTATTATATACGTGATGTATTCAAACGCTAAATCAGAAGCCATATTTTGTAATAAAATTAAAATTATTAATGAGCAATAGAGACAGAAATGGAAATTTAATCATGGAGTAGAAACTTTAAATTATAGAAATTAAGAACGTGAATAATTTAATAAACAAAGTGAAAGGAAATATTTGGAACTTTCAACATGCTAACGTAATCCTTTTCAAAAGCTTGTAAAGCATAATTAATATCGGGAGAGTACAAAACTAACAGGTGCACATTCGGAAATGTCACTAAACATGAATCAGGCTGTTAATGGTTAAACAAATCAAATATTCATTTTAGGAATATATACATATACGTATACATATTCTTTTATGTGTTGCCTTTGTTCTGTTCCTGTTGTGTAAAATCCCCTCATAAATCAATATCGTAGTTTAGTGATTTTCTGGCAATGAAGCCCTATCTCAATGCATTTTCATTAAAATTTGGTCACTTGTTTAAATTATATTTCTAAGAAATCTTATAAGAAAAAGTTTTTTTCCATGTTCTCTTTCGTAAATGTAATAATCCGCCCTTTCTTTATCAGCAACGATTTCTTTTTTAAACAGTTTTTTTTTTCTTTATGCTTAAAATTTTATTTTGGGACATTTCCATTGGGACACATGTCCGCAGATTAAATATTCCCTTCTATTAAAATAACATCGACACGCTCGCCTCATCAAAAGGTGGATGAAACGATGTATTACAATTTTACACGCCCAAGTGTGAACTAATAATAAATGCATTTTATCGTCCATCTCTCGCCATTGTATGAGTCAGTGATCAATCAATATGTAAATATTGTAGAATTTACTACGACATAAACGACAAAATCAGGTAGTGGTTAAAAGGAAACCATCGCGATAATGAATAGACGAGCATTCGACTGATCATGATTGATGAAAAATATTGTGAATGACTGACCTTCATTGAGATTATCAGCAGGTGTTGCAATATTTTGTCAATGTACCTGAGTTGAAATAATATGCAAGATGAATAGAAACCATATCATTCACAAAAGAATTCTTCTTCAGAATGTAGATGATCATGGCTCTCCACAATTTCCTCTTCTTTGTAGCTCTTAATTAATTTTGACTTTTCGTTATTTCTCCTAAATCCTGTTCCGCCATTCATTAATTTAAGCTCATCGATGATGTTATGCGTTGTTTCCCTCTGTGTTTCTTGCCCTCAATCTGTCCTGTGAGTATCAGATTTTCCAAGCCCACCTTCCTCATTATGTGTCCCAGAAATGTCAACTGTCTCTCCCTGATGTTAAGTATAAGTTCCTTTTTTGCTTCCATTTTCTCTAAAATCTCTTCGTTGCTCACATGTTCGATCCATAATATCTCAGAACCATTTTTCTATTCCTTCAAATTACTTATTCATATTTGAAGAATTTTTTCGGCATTCACCGCCATATAAGGACATATATATCGCAACAATTCAGTACAATTGCCTTTGATTATAACAAAGTTTTTTTTTCTGTTACTTAATATCATAGTTCCGTCCTTGGATTTTATGCATCCTTATAATGAACATGCCTTTTGTTCTGTTAGGTTTCTCATTTCTCTAATGTTTTTTACTTTATTCTTAATTCGTTTTATCTGTAATAAGTGTATAATGTTCAATAGGAATTCGAATTATCGCATTTTTAGGAAAATCTTTTAATAAATAAAATTCTTGTTGTAAGATGAATGCGAGAATTAATTATTCAATACACGAAATCGCTATTTTCGGGATCTACAATGTACAACAAACAGATTTAGTGCTGAAAACTGATGAGCCAAATTTTATATTCATATTATTGATTATCTTTAGGAATGCATCTTTGTACAATCCAATGCATCGTCGGATTTCAGTGTCGCATTTTTCATCAGGACACTTCCCAGTTTTTAAATGTTTGTACCGGTTTCATTTTGTTATCTGCAATTTGCACCCTTTTGCTAACGACCATGCATTCTGCCTTCTTACAGTTTATATTTAATCATTTATTCTCGCTTTTATTTACTTTTTTCTGTAGGAGCTTTTGTTGTTTTCTTTCCATGTCTGCTATCAGCACTATTTCATCTACATATCTTATGTTGCTAAGATTGTGGCCGCTAGTAATGATTTCTGGTAGCATATCTCATTCTTTCAGAATTGCCCCGCTGTTTAGGGTGAATAATTCCGATGAAAAGACACATATTTGACTTACAACCCTTTTCTAATTTTATATATTTGCTGATCTCATTTTCTAGCCTTACTCAGGCTGTCTGCTGCCAGTAGAGGTTCTTGATTAGTCAAATATCCTTCCCAAATATGCCAACATTGCAGAGCAGTTCTAACAGATCTTTGTGGCGTACTTTATCGAAACGCCTTTCTGTAATCTATAAAACACAGGTACACGTCCTTCTACATCTCTATTGTTTCTTCTGATACTATCTTTAGCAGAACATCGCCTTCCTTGTTCCAATGTCTGTGAGAAAACTGTATTGTTCTTATTCTATATTCGGTTAGATTCAGCTGCGCACTCTATTCATCAGAATTCGGATGATGCGCTGTCTGTTGTTTACATTTGTTTGCACTTGGGTTTCTTAGGCAGTGCTATGAAAATCGATCTACTTAGGTCTTCTGGTATATTGCCACTGTTTTAGCTTTCGCTTATTATTTCTGTAATCTTGTCTGTGCCGAAATCATTTAACGCTGTCAGCATCTCTATTACAATTCCGTCTGGCCCTGCCACTTTGATTCTGTTCAATATGACCAATGCAGCTTCCACTTCGGTTTTTATATTTCCAGTCTGTCGATATTTCTGTGTATTGCCGGTTATTCTTTCTCACCGTGGAAGAGTTCTTTGATATATTCTTTTCATCTCTGAATTTTTTTTTCTTTCTTTAATATCATAGTTCCGTCCTTGGATTTTATGCATCCTATTAATGAACATGCCTTTTGTTCTGTTAGTTTGCCCATTTCTAAAGTTTTATGTTTATATGTTTTAGCTGCGATAAGACTATAATGTTCAATTGGAATTTGAATTATCGCATTTTTATGAAAATCTTTTAATAAATAAAATTCCTATTGTGAGAGGAATGCGAGCATTACTTCCTCAATACAAGTAATCGCTGTTTTCGGGATCTTCAATGTACAACAAACAGATTTAGTGCCGAAAATTGATTAGCCATATTTTACATCTATATTTCTTGATGAATTAAGCGTCTTACCTCTCGTGAAAGACTAACGGTTAGTGGTACCCAAAGAAAACACGGGGACTAATTTAAGATTTCAAGCGCGCACCAGGAACTGTGTGATATACGCTGATTCAGACGTCCGACCCTTGCGCTGATATTATTTAAAAAAAACGTCACTAGATTCAGTTGAGCCTTCCATTTTCAACTTTTTTTTATTAACATGGCGCTCCTTGCAGATTGTAAAATATCTTTGAAGATTTTCAAAAGACTATCAAAATACAAGGATCTCGAAGTAGAAATCCTAAACTTGTGTCACACAAGGTCATCAGTAATTTCAGTTGTAGTTAAAGCCCTCAAGTTGATTGGAAAAGATTCCAACAGACTCATTGAAGCGATTCCTGGTAGCCCATGCCTCTAAGAAATACAAAAAATCATGCTCACAAGTACAGCTCATACATTACTAAGAGCTTTATCTATGTAAATGTATGTGATCTTAGTTTTGTGTCCTGTTTTGTTATTTTAGTAAAATGATCTGTGAAAGTTGTCATGAATCTAACCTTAGGACGTGTCTGGTTGGGACCCGGATGGAAATGAGGATACAGCAGAAATCAAAGGAAATAATAATAATAATAATAATAATAATAATAATAATAATAATAATAATGAGAAGAACAAGAATAAGAAGTTGAAATGGAGTTTCAAATGGGTGAAGAAATACAATTAAAGCACAATACACACCGAGTGAAGCTTCAAAATTCTTAAAAAGAAAAATCGAAGGCAAATACAACCAACCAGATACAGAAACGATGGCAAGATAAACCGTTTCACGGTCAATATTCTGCCCGTACCAAACAATCTGATATAGACAAACCCTGTAACCATCTGTGGCTATGTAGTGAAGGGTTAAAAGCTGAAACTGAAGGTTTTATTCTTGCTGAACAGGGCCAATGCTTACTAACTAGAAACACACCAACTGAAAAATTGTGTTAGTCAAAAATGTAGATTCTGTAATAAATATCGAGAAACAATTGACCATCTTGTATCAGGTCGCGTATTAATGGTACCCACTGAATATAAAACACGGCACGACAGAGTTGGCCAACATCAGGATTAGAAACAGCAAAGACCAAATATGCCTCTTATTGACATGGAAGTCACCAATGTATCTTTGAAGACCTTCAAAAATCTAGCCAAATAAAGGGACCTTGAAATCGAAATCTCAAAAGTGTGGCACATGAGAAAATCAAAAATTCAGTTGTAGTTGGAGCCTTCGGATTGACTGGAAAAGATTCCAGTAGATGCCTTAAAAAAATTCAAAACAAATTGTTCTCACGATATTGAGTCCCACGAGGGTGTCATGTGGCACAAGGCCTTTTTAACGTGGGCATTCCGAGCCCGTGGGTTCGGCCAAAAATATGCCCATTGAACCCGTATAAACAGGCTTAGGACCGGTTTTACCTCCCCGAAGGAGACTCCACCCTTCGGCATAGCCTCCTTCGGGTTCCTCCCGTCCGTAGGAAGAGAGTTCAACCGAGCAGTCTGTTCAAAAGTGAACGACTGACAAATTGTTCTGACGTGTACAGCCTACGTCTTATCTATGTAAAATATGCATAATTTTTTATAACATTTCTGACCCTAGGTCTCTGGTTGGGACTCGGAAAGAAATGAGTACACACCAGAAATCAAAGCAATAATAATAATAATAATAATAATAGTAATAATAATGATGATGTTAGTTTCAACAGCTGCGTATTTAGTCGAAAGTTATCACAATTTCCGAGAAAAGGTGCGGTTGATTAGATGCAGACCAAAAATGTTTTGACTGTTGGTAGAAAATATTCATGTTGCAAATCTCACACCATATTTCATATATATATATATATATATATATATATATAGATAGATAGATAGATAGATAGATATAGGTATTTCCCAACAAGTTTCAAAATGCATTATAAAGTGAAAAATCTTTCTTGAAGGTGTTATTTTAGTTTTAATTCCAAGCTAATAGATCAAATTTAATATTTCTACAAAGCAAAATACATTTTGGGATTTCAAACTCTATTTAAATTGATTAGAATTATTTTTTCTATTACCACTAAATTCTCTAAAATTCTTCACATTGACAAATCGATCAACACAACATAATTCTTTTCATTAAAATAACTTTCAAAAATAAATATACTTACCTAAACAATATTTGAGTATGATTAACTAATTTAAAGTTTAATGATTCTGAATAAAAACGAATATTATTTATTTTTAGTTTAAATTATCGCAGAAATGTATTTTTTGAACACGAAGCGTTTAGTTACATGAAGTTTTAAAACATCTATTGATAATCAGATGTAAAGGGAAATAATTGTAGTAAAATCATATGACGAATACAATGTGAACGAATATAAAATTACCAATAGGTTTTAAATGTACTATATTGATCGCTCTTATTTTCTGATAATGTCATGTATGAACGTGCGGATTTACAAAAATCAGCACGTTTATACACAAAATATGAATATTTCAAAATTGTTTTTAAAATCCTGGTGTCACTGAACTGTTGGAAGATTACTTATTTATAATTAGTATAGTATTCTTTTAATAACAATATCACTTGACTGCTACAAAGTAATCTAGAATTTTAAAAGATTAAAATGTTTATAAGTTATTCTAATTAAAATTGTTAAAAATGAAAACAATTATTGTAAAACAAAAAACTTTATTAATCGAAAATCTATTTTTCCAAGACAATAGTCTCCATAATATATTTTATTAATGAAAGCAATTAAAAGCATTTCTGATTAAATAATGTCTTAATTTTATTGCTTTTTTATTTTAAGATTTAGAGCAGATTTTCTGTAACCAAGATGTTTTTCTATTTTTACCAAGGTTTTCTAAAAATGAAAGATTTCAAAAATGATTTAATCACTTGTATATAAGTCCTTAAAGTTTCATTAATATCTGACAATTATCTGATTTTTGCAAGAATTCCCAAATCAGTTTGTTCCCAGCAAAAAGACGCTCAAATTTCCTGAGTTAATTTACAGCACCACATTGATGCCAGAGAAACAATATTTTCAACTAAAATTTCGAAGATTTTAAAAAGGATGCAAAAAGTTATGTTTACAACAAAATCCTTCCAACTATAAAACTTTGTTTTTATTATGTCTGTGGTATTTTAAGTATGCCCATTGGTAGCAAATCATTGGAGGTACTTATATCTCATTAACATAGATGCTATCAAAATGGAAAACGCAGACAAACTTAAGCTTAATCAGAAAATACACAACTTCTTTGCTTTCCACTCATTCTGGAAGAAATCAAAAGATGTTAACTCAAATTCGCTTCAGAAGAGCCGTGAGAAAACCAAAAGTAAAAAAAAAAAACAACTTTCAACAAATCAAGAAACTTCAAGAAAATAAAATCTTTTCGAAAGCAGAGTTGGATCGTCTATATCGAAGTATAAATCACATGAAACATAAACAGATCAACAACAATCTACATTACAAATTAAAATAACGGCTTAAGAAGAAAACAAATACACACAATTTTATTCTTTCATTCCAAACACGGGATGCCACTTTAACAGAAATATATCAATAATTTAATATTGAAGCGCGCACACGAAGGTGCACACGGACACACCACAGTTCTTTCGTTCGGACTCGTGGAATTCTATCTAACAAAGGCGAAACGTATAGCCAAGTCAACAAAACAGTTTTTAACTTCGAGTTATCAAATGTATGCATATATATTCAAACATCATTTTTGGAAGAGAATTGTCCAGACGAGGTTTAACTACCAATAAGGGGAATTGTTGGATTTATTCTCTTCTGCAATTTCATTTCATCTCTCTCTCTCTCTCTCTCTCTCTCTCTCTCTCTTTCTCTCTCTCTCTCTCCCCATCTCTTCTGAACTTTTCATTTCCCCTTCTCTCTCTCCTGTATTTTTCTTTTACCTTCGTCTTTTCTATCTCTTTGTCTCTCTCTGTTTCATTTTCATTTCCTTCTCTGTTTCAGCACTTCTCTTTTTCTGCATCTTCAATCGATCTCCCTTCTCTCTCTCTCTCTATCTATCTATCTATCTATCTCTCTTTCTCTCTCTGTATATTCATCTTAGCTTCTTACTTACAACTTCTCTCACAGTGTTGTATTTTCGTTTCTTTTCTAACGCCTCTTTATCTGACTTTTTTATTTCTCTCTTTCACTGTTCGTTTCTGACTTGATTAATTTCAACTCATCCTTTCCCTCTCTATGACACACGCTCCTTTTATTCCATTCCTTTCGTTCTATCTCTCTCTCTCTCTCTCTCTTTCTCTCTCTCTTGGCGTTAATTTCTTTTAACTTCCCTCTTTCTCTCACTATTCTTGCATCTTCTTTCACCGCTCTCTCTTTCTCTGCTTATTTTTTCCTTCTTGTTTTTCTCTCTTTCTCCCTGTCATATCACCTACATAATCAAGCAGACACATATTATTAGTCGTGATAGTTGGTAAAATTAATCGAAGCAGCGACGGAGGTATTCAATTTTCATTTCACTAACACGTTTATATTCCTGCGAAACAATGGCTGCTATTCCAATGAAAATATACAATAATTAAAATAAACAAGTTATGAAACCAATGTGGAGATATTTAGTTCAGAAAAAAAGCGTTTCTTGACTTAAATATTTCGAAGTTTATTCACATCATGGTCAGAATAATGAATATTTGAAATTATTAAACATGACGTTTAAATGTTTGGAAATGTTCACTTACAAAAATATCTCCACCATAATCATTTCAAAATGCGTCAATCAGTCAGTACCAAAACATATCACCTATCGATGAACTGTATCATATCCAGTGTTTTATCTCCATAAAATTGAGAAGGCTTTGATAAATACCTATGGGTGTATTTTGTTTTTGGATAGAGAAATTTAATGGCAGATTTCTTCTTATAAATTTTCATATCCGCATTTTGATGTTACTATTGTTGACAAAGGCAACAATACATACCCTATTGACTGAAGACATAAACCTGAACTGCCATAGCACCAACATCAGCCGCTCACGTAGTGGATCAATATAATGAAATGGAAGGCATAAATTTCGGAGTGACCTTCATGTGTGTGTGTGTGTGTGTGTGTGTGTGTGTGTGTGTGTGTGTGTGTGTGTGTGTGTGAAGAAAGAAAGATATAAAAGAAATTAAAAAATTACCCAATTAGTATAGGTAAAGAATGAAAAGTCTCTATATGAGAAAGAAAAATCTTTTAGTTAATAGTCCATTTACTTTGTAAACCATACAGTTTAATGTGTGTGACAATAAAGAGTAGAAAATATATCAAATCTAAATGTAATCCGATCATTCAGGCAACAATTAGAATAATACTTCTCCATTGGCTGGTGAGTAAATACATAACATTATCTTATTTTTCCCTTTGTTTGTCGACTTTCACCATTAGTTTGAATGTTGCCGAACAGTACATGCTTTTTCAAATATGGTTGGACAGGGAAGAGATGTGGTTAGCGATGAGTAATCGAGAAAGATTGGTTCGTTTAGAACACGTGATACATCTGTCGATATAAAGTCCGATAATACCTGTCCATCACGGTCTCTGGTTGTTGTGGCAGTCGGAACCTGAGTAAAAGGGGAGGTGGGTAGCAACAATGATAAATTTTCCCTTCATATCATTTTGATATCGTATCCTCGGCAACGTACAGATCAACGCATAAACTTTGTTAAGCTAGTTCCTCACGTAGGAGAAATATTGACGTTGGGAAAGTAAAAGAAGAAAAAAATCCACCCAGTTAATATTGCGGTAATAAATGTTCACCTGGATGATATTCAATTTTCCTCTTTAATTAATGAGGTAAATTTGATTCATGTAAAATCGTTTATAAATGTGATTGGTGACGACGTTCCCAAACATATCATTATATTACGTAATCCATGATTTTTGAATGTATATTAGGCTTGTAGATTATCTCTTTTCTCACAGGACGTATTTACTAATATCCCAAGGAGCCATTGATAGCCACGTGACAGACCGTTAGTGAGGAAAGTAATTTGCGGTTTACCTCCCAACGGAAGTGGATATGGCAACCCTTGTGGTTCGGCAAACTAGAGAATATCACGTGTCTTAAATAAGAATATAAAATATATCAAAAGGTATGGCCGTGTACCTCTTGGAGATATACAAGTAGACTTTACATTCATCCATAATGCTTGCATTTTTCACATTTAATATGATTTCTTTAAAAAAATCGTAATGAATATGCGTATTTATGAATGGTGAATTTGGATGACTTATATTTTTTTTCAGATATAATTCATTTTTGGAATTTTCTTTTTAATCATTTCAACACAAACTTACGCGCAAATTATTTAGCAATTTCAACTGCGAAATAATGAAAGTTAGTTGCTGATCTACGACTGTATTTTAATTTGTAAATTGTCGATAGCAAGAAAGAAATCATACCAAAACAATAACCATGAAAATATTTCTAGAAAAGGCAGAGGGAAGCAACGATACGCCGGTTATTGAATCCGTGATACTAGGTACAGATTCTTCTATGGATTTTGTCAAGAATCACTAGATAGCAAAAGTATCAAATAAGTTGTGAAAGCAATGTTCATTACATGTACGAATTGTAGATTGATAAAGCAAATAAGATAGATTTCGACAAGGGAAAATGTATAAAACAACACAATGATGCAGGTTTGCTAACTTCAGGCCTTCGTAATTGATTCAATCGTTCATGCCAGTGGAAAGCTTTAGGCGGAAAAGGCACAACGAGTCACTCTACTGGGAGTTATCTCCCATCATGGTGATGCGAGGCAAAAAATGTCTCTATTATGAGTATAACTGGGCTGTTTTTGTTTTGGAGGCGTTAAAATTCACAAGCCGTTTCTTGCCCCAGTTAACAACAGATTGAAGATGATAATAGGGTAATTCGAATTGTCAAGAAGACAGTATTGCGATGCGTGACAAGAGCTAACCAATAAGGTAAGGAACAAATGCAGTAACGAACTATGTTGATCAGAGTTATTAGGGGAACAAATAGGGAAATCTAAACATTTGACAAAGATAAAGCCGCTGAAAATTGAAAGTCAAAATACCAGTAATATTACTAATATTACAAGGATTAAAACACTTAAAAAGACGTCTAATAAAATCTAACCAAACATGTATATTTGGCATTGTCTACACCTTCTATTCACTAGGTTAATGTGTTAGTATATAAGTGGTATACCAATGCCTTTAGAGAGTGGAGAAAACCCAGATATTTCTTCTCTCTTTCAAATCAACCGATTAGGCTTACTATTATTAGTTGTGGTATATGTGTCTCATCACACTAGTTATATATGAGCGGACATCAAATGTCATAAAATATCTTGCACTCACTCCAGTAAACACTTATGATCATATTTTGCTTAAATCTTTGCTATACTAAATTTACTACCGAAAGGACATATCTGCGTTTGGTTTGGTTTGGTTTGGTTTGGTACGGGTCATCAGAAAGCTGATTTCCTACGGCATAAATAAACCATTTCTGTAAACTGTGATATAGATTCAAATCCTCTAAAGAAAAAAGGCACATTTTGCGTCAATGAAAAGTTTTAGCAAGTTAATCATTCAAGTTTTGGTAGACATTTTTTCATGAGACACCGTTCTCAATGTTTGAAATAGAAACATGTATAAATAATCTAGAGACTACTGAAGCAGATGTCGTCTTTTGGGTGTCATCGGCTCATTAGCATATATTGCAGTGGAAAACAGAAACTATATGATAACAAGAGAAAATATCATCGACTCAAAATACGTAGCCTGTGGTGAGAGTAGAAAATAAACGTAATTACCTTTCTAGTGTAAGGCAAATTCTTAAATAAAAGATCAAATTTCATTTCTATTAGCAAGCAAGAAAACAAATTCCTTCTGTACTATCTAAAGCCACATCATGACAAAATCAACTAAATTAAGAAACGATGTCTTAATTCTATTAAATTCTACTCCTAACACCAAAACATAGAAACAAAGAAGATCGTAAATTTATAATGAGTTTCTTTAACGTCTTACATGACAAAGTGAGAGAAAGAAATATTTCAACAGAACCATGTGTTTAAATGAATTGTAACACGTTTTGATTGGTTTGAAATGTAATTGTGTTGAATGTGGTTTGCTTTGTTTTAATGTACATAGCATTACGAATTACACATATATTATAAATAGGAAACATATCTCACACTAACATGGTTCAATTCTATTAAAGCTTCGTCAGAGATTGAGAGAAAACAGACTAAAACTCCATATTAGATCATATATATATATATATATATATATATATATTAATTTTATCCGATAGAAAAAAAACATTTTACTCACTACAAAAATTGCACTGAAACCAAGTTGGTTGCATCTTTGTAGTGAGTAAAATGGTTTTGTCGATATGATAAACCTATAATAAATAAATAATTATCGCTCTACTATCGGTATCGAGCACTCTTTTGGATTAATGCTGTGAACGTTGAAATTTATATATTACTTTCGTTCTCATCCCATCGGGTATATATTTAAGGGAGAGAAAAGTGTATATTTTGAAGAGAAGAGAGAAACTGCAAACGTTTTGAGAATCGTTTTAACTATATATCATACTTTATTTTTCTACATTTTTGCTACACGTGTTTTCGGTCGCCTGAACTTCATTAGGCAAAAGTGATTATTTCACACTTTATTAAAAGGAATTCATTTTCTTTATCTTTGATATATATATATATATATATATATATATATATATATATATATATATATATATAATAATTCTCGAATACACAGAACAGTACATGTAATTACAACTGCATAAACAACAGTGCGTTGGATTTTCATAACGCAAAAGTTCAGATTTTCTACTGCATGGAAGCTTTGATATTTTTTACGCTGAATGACATTTTCAATTAAGTGTTCATAACTCAAAAATACCTTACCATACATTTTCAAGTACAAAAATACATATGAAATAAATAGAATTCTTGGACACCTCGCAAATGTATTAAATATCCGAATTTTCTAAAGAGAAAACCCTTTTGTTGCAAAGCAAATTCTTGTGTTCTTTATGACTATAAAGAAATGAAGAAAGGAAAATGGATACTGGTTAAAAGTAATGTTCACCTCATGTCAATTTATATAAGGCTCTTTATAAATCATTCATAATCAATATTATGCTAGGAAGGGTATTTTATATTAA